GTGTCACGCCATATATCTGGTAGCACTCAGCGTGTGACCCCATAAATTAAAATCTTTTGACCATTACAGGGACTTCCAACTTCTCTTGACCATTTACAAATGCATACACAGTCGTTAATTTAATTTTAACTATAAAATCACAATCAAATTCTGCTAAATTTAAATTTTGTAGTCATTTGATATTATTTTATTTTAACGTAATACAAGTTATTAATATAAAATTGACTTCATACATGAAATTGTTACAAATTTAATTTGTACAGAAGGATAAATCAAACTTAATTTTTGCTTAAATGAAAAATTAATTTAATTTAAATAGTCTAAAATCAAATAATCAAGTAACAAACTCAATTCTGAATGAATGTAAGTAACTGCAAAATGAAATTCTGAGAAAGGTATTGCACATGGCTCACAGATTTAATTACGCCAACAAGCTGTCTTCTTTTAGAAGACACCTAACGTTTTCAGACATTGTACTTCGCATTGGACAGTTGTTGCGTGTGTGACCGGTTTGCTTGCAACTTGAACATGCTTTTGGTCGTCACACTCGTGGAGGTGCCGATTGAGTTGGAGCTGGTGCCGGTGTTGTGGATGGAACTGCAAATGGGGATGGGCAATTCTATCTATTATGCCCGTACCTATTGCATTGCGAACATCTCTGTGCTCGACTACCTTCAATAGCCGATGGAATCCTTATCCTCCTAGGTCTTCCCGCTTGGCATCGCCAAGCTGATGGCAACACCATAATTTGTTTCACATAAAGGGGGATGTCCCACTCACTAGAATGGCCTACCAACTGAATGAACCCTGCATAACCCTCAACCAAAACGATTGTCTTGTAATAGTTAGCGTAGAATTCAATAGCTTCATATTTGCATTTACTGAAATATACAATGAGCTCAATATTCAAGCACAATGTAAATGCAATGTCAATTAGGGTTCAAATAAGAAAAAAAGAGCAAAAAAATATTCTGACCTTATTGCTGCAATGGCATGACTGCATGGGAGTAAATCTGTTTG